AAGCACTCTCTCACTACAAAGCTGTTCACTGCAACCACAGCAGATACTAGAAAGTTGTCTACTGGTGCCACAAAGGATACTACCTTATAATAAAACACTCTTGCCACAAAGCTGTCCAAGGGAGCCACAGAAGAAACTGCCTTATAATAAAGTACTCCCTCATTACAAAGCTGTCCACAGGAGCCACTGAAGATACTCCTTGTAATAAAGTATTCTCTCACTATAAAGTTGTCTACTGGAGCCACAGAAGATACTTTCTTATAATGAAATACTCTCTCACAACAAAGCTATCCACTGGAGCCACAATGGATACTACCTTATAATAAAATACTCTCTCACTATAAAGCTGTTCACTGGAGCCACAGAAGATTCTGCATTATAATAAAATATTCCCTCACAAAAATCTCTCCAATGGAGCCACAGAAGATATTGCCTTATAATAAAGTACTCCCTCACTATAAAGCTGTCCATTGGAGTCAAAGTGGATAACACCTTATAATAAAATACATCAGACATTTAATTTTATTAGTATGTAATGAATTTGATTCCATGATTATAAACACCTTATAAAATAGGACTGTGTTATAATTAAGTGTGCCGTAGTGATTTGTAATCCATAATCATCACTGTCTTATAAAGGAACTGTGTTTTAATTAAGTACTTTGTAATCAGTTTGGAACATGACCATAACCCCATTAAAAAGGAACTGTGTTATAATAAAGTGAAATAAAGTGATTTTGGATTTATTATCATAACTACTTATAAAAGGAAAAAGCTGTGTTATAATAACGACATGCTTTACTGTGAGGGAATGCATTTAAATATACTTCATACATGACTCCACTCTTCTCTGAAATTTGTTTAAACAGAAACAGGTGTTATTCACATTGTGATGAAAGGAACATTATGCTGATAATTTTGTTAATTAAAATTATGAACTAAATTCATTGAAAAATTTGTGTTTTGCTTACAAAGTCTCATCAAACATGGAAATTAATTAATGTGTGTCATAAGTCTGGTTTTCAAAACTAGATCATGGATGATGTTCATTGCTTATGAAGTTGGGGGAAAATGTGTTGTTTTTTTTCTTATTTCTATGAAGAAATTTGTACAATGGAGCCATTTTACCATGCACATTTAAACAATACTGAGTATAGCTGATTATTCTATGAGCATAAAATGTTAGTTTTTAATTTTGGAAAATGGAACTTAATAATCGTTAGAATTTATTCTACACTATAATAAACTTTTTCACTGATCATTTATCTAAATACACATACTGATCAAATTTTAACATACATATCTGCAATATCCACTGAATGAATCACATCTGTCCCATAATAATTATATTCCATTATAGGTACATCAGTATTTTATTGGATTGTTATTTATACTACAACTCAAGAATCATGTTGCATAATAGACAGAACAGCAATATCACCAAATACACACTACATTAAATTATTGTTTTAAAACATCATACTGAATAATTCATTTCTACCAATTTATTTTCCAAGATTTATGCAGGATGTTCCTAAAATTGCATTGAATTTATTACATTTATGAAACTGAATCATTCAACATGATGCTTTACAAAAGTCAGTTAGTTTAATTAATACTTTGTGACCGTAGTTAACATTGAGAATATTTAAGAACACTATCTTAAACATAAATCAAAGGGAAAATCCAGAATACAGTAACTTATGTACTTAATAAATAGTGTTAATTTTATTATTATTTTGTAAAATGAGTGCAATTGGCTCAGCAGTTTAGGAGGGATTGGCCTTTAATTTTTTGATTTGAAGATAGTTTTGCCATTGGGGGGGGTATAGATAAAAATTTACAAATAATAACATCAAATTTTATATAATTATCAGAATTCCTTTTGATGAGAAGAATATTATTTAAATGGTGAAGAACATAACTATAAATTCTATCTAAATTGTATCCTTTTGGACTTATGAATAACAAATAAATGTCATAAAGAGTTCATGTGATAAAAAATGGAGAGAAATTTAGCACCTGAAAAACGTGAAACAGGATATGACCATGGAGTTTTGCAATAACTCAAAAATGTCACTTCATATTTGATTTGAATTAGCATCCTTGCATTAAATCAATACTTGTATCATCCAGGTAATATGTCGTCTAAAATCATTAGAACTATCATATGCCATTCTCTTTCATAGCAGGATGCAGATATAAGATTTGCACAAAGTATAAAGGAGTAGCTCAAAAAAATTATTCTTACATATTAGCTTGGTGCCAGGTTTATGATTGTGTGATGTCTGCTGAATTAAAATTATACAATTTCATTTGCTGACTAAACGCAAGTTTAAAACAAATTACTTTTCAACATTATGATTCACTTGTACTCAACAGATCTTGCAGATGCTATACATTTTTTTAATATATCAGTGTAGACGTGAACCTGCTCTTGTATTAATGGTTAATTGTATATATACTTTCTTACAAGTCCAAATGCAAATTGTACATTATGCAAAGGAACGTATAGACCTATACAGTTTGTTATGGGGTAATGAGTAAAACAAACACAGATCCTGATCTGCCAGTGCAGTATGTGATAGAAGATCAGAATTTTTTACAGTTGAACTATAAGCAACTATATAGGGTTTACTAGCATATCTAATCAACCCTGTTGGCTAAAGTCTTCAGCAGAACAAACTATATAGACTGATGTACCAGTACATTGCCTTATGTGAATGTATGAACGTGTCTGTAATCAAATTGAGTAGACTCTGATCTGCCAATACAAATGCATTATGTGACGATAAGCCTGTACCTGTAATCATGAAACTTTCTGAGGAAGAGTTGAACACCCAAAATCTGATATAATAGATAGGGAGCACATGTGTCTAGAAAATCATTCAGTCTAGTAAGGGGATTCCTTTTCTTTTTTTTTTATTCTAGTTTACTCTGACTTTATAGACTCAAAATTTTGGGACTCTCTCCTTGGGTATAAATTTTAAAATATGTGGCCAGAAGACCATACAAAGCTGTACTTGCATTCAAAATTGAGTTTTCACTCTCAGCCAATTAAATATGTGTTAAAAAAGAAAAGTCCTATTTGATTGGCTAACATTAAATCTCAAACTCAAACTCACTTGAACTAAAGTTTCCTGACAATCCTTTCAGAATTTATGCTAACCATATCTAGTATAATCCATGTTGAAAAAATTCAAACACTGAAGTGAATCATCCCTGCTAAAAGAATCAAAGAAGTGTTACACTGTACTTGTTTTAACTTAGATGAAATCAACAACTAAATCATCCTGCTTTGCTTAAGTCAGCTCACATGATCACAAGCAGCATAACTGTAAATATAATATACTGGAAGCAAGGTGTGAAAAAAATGGAAAGAATCAAAGTTTTCAATATCAATTTTGTGTTCATTGAAGATAGTGAATAATGGGTTGGATGTGAGAAACCTCTCATCTCAAGAGGTAAACCATCTGGCCCAGGAAGTTCACATGTATGGATAAAAAAATTCTGGTCCCAGTCCAGCCTGCATGATGAGTCTCAAATTTCAGTCGAAACTCAAATCAACCTTTGCACACAGAAGAGCTGTACTTGGAAATAATTATAAGATAACTGAATTTGTTTTTAAAACCAGCTGGTTATTTTGTACCTTACCATTGACAGCATGACTCCAAATTTCACTTTATGTATTTTCTAAAGTGACTGATAATCTAAGCAGAATAGCCACTACATTAGAATGGTGGCTCACAGTGGATACAAATAGCAGTGGATACACATGTAAGGCAGATATATGCTTGAACTCAGGAGCAAAGTATCTGTATTCGTGTATCTAAAATGACTGAGACAATTTCAGAAATGTTTTCAATATATACTGCTGTTAAATCAGAAATTTATTAACTACAACAATCTTTGCATGTTTTTTTTTTTTTGGTCACAAAAATATGGAAAAAACAAGTCCATTCAAATAATATTGCTGCTAAAACCTGAAGCAACTGATATACTATTACAACTGAAACCTTGTGCAATGAGCAATTCTGCAAGGGCCATGTTATTTTTCATTGTTTTTTGTTATGTTCATATAAACCTAAATGGATTTCCCCCCAATAATCAATGATATTCTGTGATGACATCAGACACTATGAATATGGTGCAATCCTGAATAACTATGATAGTGACCAAGTTTAGATGTTGTAAATGGAAAATAACAGAGTGCTTTATAAATATTGGACTAAATCATTTCCTCTCCTGGGGCATGACAATTATTTAAGAACTCAAAGGAGTTGATGGCCACCAGGCAGTCATCAATTGTAAATTCATAATTTGCACAACATCTGGGGTTTTGCGAACTGGGTGCTCAGTTCTGATGACTATGATATATATTATAGTGTTCCAGAATGGTTTACAAAGTTCAAACACATTCTAGAACACAGGAAATGGTGTTAGGGAGTACCCCTTGAATACATCTCCACCCTGTGTTCAAAGATTTAAATACCATTCTAGCAAAACTTTTCAACTAAAAAAAAATCCATCCAATAATTCTTGTATGAACAATTGCCAAATGAATAAACTATCAATGAACTAGCTGCAAAAATGAATTTTGCAAAAGCAAAAAAAAACCAATCAGTAAATGTAATTTCAAGATCTGACTAAAGCTGACAGAATGGTAACAAACAGACTAAACCAACATAATCCAACCTGGTCCCAATTTCATGAATATAGTGTCTTAAAACTTATTACATACTGAAGGCATATGATGGCCCAACTTTAATCAAAACTTTAAGTTCAGTTGATTAAATTGAAATTACACTAACATAGGTCATATGCTTAAGTCCAGACTTAAGACATTCAATCAGTCTATCTTAAGCACCAAAAGGTTTAGCCAAGGAAATCAAAGGATTGGAGATTTAAGCTTAAGTACAGACATGTGATCTGTTGATGAAATCCAGGCTAGACTGAGCAAGAACAATTAAGGCTAAAAGAGAGAGTGTTTCAGAACAACTGGTCTGGTGGCCTAGTGGTTTGAGTCTCTGCCTGAAATGTGGGAGGTCTTGGGTTCAAACATCGACCAAATCATACCAAAGACTTCCAAAAATGTTACTAGCAGCTGCCTCACTTGGTGTTTAGCATTAAGAGGTTAGTGTTAGGACTGGTTGTCCTGGTGTCCAGATAATGTGACTGAGTGGGACATAATGCTACATGTCTGTGGCATGATGCTGCAGTGCTATACAGACAGCATACATTCAAATCTACCACTGCATGGAGTGTGGCAGATCTTGGTCTTTGTTAGTATTAAACACAGAACAAATAATATAGTTCCTGACCTGGCAGTATAATGGGATGGCAAATCAGGGTCTATGTTGCTTGCATTTTGAACCTCACTTATACATGCGTATATAGCATTATTCATGTCTCCAGCATATTGCATGGAGTCATGATTGAGTCAATTTTCACAACCTGCTTGTACTGAAAAAGGCAGTGCATATTTTAGTAAGTGTAAGTATTTGTGCCAATATTTTAAGTTTCACAAATTTTATAAATAATACAATTCATAAAAATGGTAAGATATCTAAGAAACAATTTCACATTAAGTCAGACTGAAACATCAGTAAAAACAAATACTTTAAATTGCCTTATATATTTACACACATAAATCTGTAATGTGCACATAAGCCTCAATTCCTGACCACAAAGGTCAAATGATAAAGGTCATGACCATTTGTCCAGTTTCTCCAAGCCAATATATGGGCTCACCTTTTCATTGTCACTTGAATTTTCCATAATCTGCAAAGAAAAAATAGCAGCCAAATAAAGTATAATACTGAATAACAGAAATTTGTATTGAAAGAGTAATTTTAGTGATACAGCAGTATCAGAATGAGTACACAAAACTAAATACCAATTTAAATATTTAAACTACCCTACCCATGGGCTCAGCCTGATGTAATCTCCTGAATGTCACATGAGGCAGCCAATGGAGGCAGGAGCTGTAATGGTTAACATGTCAGACTTGCAGCCTATAGGGTGTGAAAATTAATTCCCCAACCTACACTTGCTACCATGGCATATCCTTGGGCAAATTCACTTATACAGCACTCAATAACCTACTTGTATTTTTGTGCCATACCACATCAAACCAAGCCCAAAGAACCATTTTGCTCTGATATTTGCCAATATTGGGCAACCATTTGACTAAGGTGACTGTGTACCCATTTTTACCCAGTCCCTGAATCATAGATGCAATGGAAAGTCAAGTAGGGTTGTTTCTTTCTGAAATTTCACCTTGACTTTCATCAAAATTATGCATCTATCAACCTATCAAAATCATGAATTCACTTTTATTTGTGGTAAATCAATTTATATTTTCACTTTACATTTGCTATATTAAGTTACAAATTTGAATACCCTACTATATGTACCCAATTGTAAGTTAAGACCAATTGAAATCAACAAAGACAGTGATCTACCATTGCATAATGTGTCAGCAGATGTGGTGTAAGCTGATGTGGATCTATGCAGTTTATTACAAGTAATCTGTAAAACAGATGACACAGGCCCTGATCTGCATTTTGCAATGACAGATCTGCATTATGCAATGACAGATCTGCATTATGCAGTGACAGATCAGGGTCAGTGATGTTTGAGGTTGGTCTGAAATTATAAGCAAGTATAGACGGTATATGGAATATCTCTACCATAAATGCAAATAAAATGTCATTAAATGACAATAAAATGTAAATAATATTTCTGTCAGAGCTCTATCAATGTATTTCTACACATGTACCAGCTACAGGGTTAATGCACAAAAAATATTATTAATGACTCTAACAAGATTAATTAATGAATCATACAATTTATAATGTTTATATTATTAGCAATAAACTGAGCCACAATGGCTCAGCCCAAAATAAAAATGTTTCCTATTGCACTGCTATTAAAATTAGAGGAGGTAGGTAAGATTTTGTTAATTTTTTTTAAAACATTATATGATTCATATATAATGTACTATGAATTTCAATTACTGGGCTAAACTAATTCAGATGCAAAAATCAATTTTGAGATTAGTTGGGGGGGGGTCTTTTGGGAAAACAAGTGCTAAGATCGGCAACAATAAAAGTATCAGCCGACTAAAATCACACTTTTCTTTTGAGCATCAGAGGTTATCATATCTGACTTGCAACATGAGGAGCGGGGTGGGTTCAAAATTCTAAAAACCATCAGATCAGCCTTGGTTGGCTGCTGGGGTGTGTTTCTAGACAAGGCACTCTATTCCAACTGCCTCAGGCATGATATAACCTACAGATGTTGATGTGTCAAAAACCACCAAACATCTGATTAGTACTAATCTGATAAATGGGGATCCAAACATAAACTAGACAAAAATTTAATATATACTTGTATGCTGATGTAAAAGTATCAACTGCTGGTACCAATGAATAAATACATACATAACTCTAGTACAGGTCTTTCCTTCTATAATGTACTTCATTGTAAAACATTTCTAGATATACATGCATTGTGCTACTGCATTGAACCTCATGACTAATATATATATATATATATATATATATACATGTTTTGAAAGAAAGCAATATGAAGTTTAGTATTTTGGCTTTTTTTTTCTTTTTAAAACAGCATCACTCTCTCCCTCCACACCTGATATCTATCTATACATGCAGTCATCAAATTTTAAATCATTCTCACTATACATGTACTGCGATTCAATATATACTGCAGTTCTTGCTATACCATGTCAGTATGTACCATGGTTCTCATTATACAGTAGTTTGGTATATACTTTGGTTCTTGCTATTAAACCATGGTTCAGTATGTACTATGGTTCTCATTATACAGTAGTAGGATACATATTGTGGTTTTTGCTATACTTTTTATCAGCATGCACCATGGTTCTCAGAATACAGTAGTATGATACATACTGTGGTTCTTGGTATTGTACCATGGTCAGTATGGTTCTCATTACAAAGTAGTTTTGTACATACTGTGGTTCTTGCTATACCATGGTTCAGTATGCACCATGGTCCTCACTATGCAGCAGTTCAGTGCATATCATGGTCATCAGTTATGGAACCAAACTATGGCATTATATCCAGGGATCACTGTAGTCAATATGTTGTAAATTAACATATACTTCAAACAAAAAGCTGAAATTTAATGCAAACACAAACAGATTCAAAAGAGTTGTTGTTGCTGTTTTGTGGTTCAATGCCATGTTCCAGCCTATGATAGGCCAGTATATATTACTGAAGAAGAACCCAGAAAAATCCTGGGAAGAATCACTGACCCACACTTACCCATGCTGACTAAGTGTGACTCAAACCCACACAGAAATTAATTGTTGGTGACCTGTAAAGGCAAGCACCTTAGACCACTCCACCACCTGGGGCCAGAATATATATGGATGGGATTTTGGATTATTGATGACTTGATGTAAATCTCATTCATCTGGATTACCATGAGTTATTCACTAACATAATACTTGCATAGAAGTCTGGTCCAAACTGCATGCATCCAGATCTGCTGACATGTAATGAACCAGCAAATCTTGGTCTATGCAGTTTTGTTTGGATTAATCAGTAGATATAAAAATGAGCATGATCTGCTGGAACATTATGTGATGGCAGATGAGGGTATATGTTGCTTACAGTTGGACTCAGCATATGCATATATATATTTTTGTAGGTTTCCTAGTTGATAGAATTAAAGAGTTTGAAGATCCAAAGAACAATGGTCTTTATGTAGGAACAACAAGTCATACCCAATGAAAAAAAATATAAGTACCAACAAAATTTTTTGTTGTTGTAAAATAATGATAGATGATTTCCTAGAATCAAGTATCAAAAACCTTATCTACCATATACTCATTTATATGTTGAAACCAACTTCAACAACACTGGCCCTGATCTGTATGGCTATCCATTATGCTTGGCAAAATTAATTTTTATTTCTCTGAAATTCAAAGAAAACAATATGGAGCCAGAGTTCAAATATTTATTTTTAATTTCTATTTATATACATTAACATTTTTAAAGACAAAGATTTATCTGGAGCTAATAATGTTTTCTGTTTATTTCTTTAAGTTTGATGTTTTTCTGAAATCTCAGTATTTCATATACAGGTGTAAAGAATTTCTGAGCAAATGTTTATTATCTTCTATATTTTAAAAAGAAAATCTGACAATACAATAACTAAGAAGAAAAAGCAGTTTCTCTCCTATCAATGACAGATTCAGAATGAACAACAAAATTAGAATAGTGCAACCTAACTGCCTCTTTCTTTAATCCCACTTTCCTTAATTAAATTGGTCTTGTTCATTTAGTTAACTCACAGGGTTAAAATATAATGATAAACATCAATAAATAATGACTAATATTAGCTACATTATGATTATCATTTTGCAAAACTTAACAATTTACAAAATAATTTCTTGTAGCATTCTGAATTTCAATAAATACTGAATGCTGTATAAAATGAGATTGTACTAATTTATTCATTTTGTGTGTCCTATTTAATGTGTCATATACTGCTAAATAATTTACATGAGTGCCAATCACATCAAGGGGCCTGGAATGGACTCATCAATAATGGAAAACGTTTGACCCATAATAAACAACAACCAAATAAAATTAATGCATCCATAAAGAAGATAAACTTTTGAGCAGCTTAATTGTTTCACAAAAATTATCTTCTATTAAAATTATATGCAGTTAAATACAGTGTATGTATGAATAAGTAGCACAGAAAACTATAAATAGACATATTAGTCCTATTCTTTGAGAATTTCAGCCCTTTTCAACACAAATGTAAACACTAGAGTTGTTACTGAACAGTTCACAAATACCCTTGCTTCTTAAAAAGTCAATATCTTAAAACCAGGGTTCAATAAACCATTATAACCAAGTTTTTTGTGGATGACACATAATACCAAATGCATCCTCAATGCAACTTTAGTGGATGTAGACCACTAGGTCATTGCAGCAGTCCATTTGGTTGCATGTTATATATAGACATATATGATAAGCTCATTTGGTTGTGTGATAAACATTGGCAGGTATGGT